GGGGGGGGTGGGGAGGGCATGTGGCGGGGGATAGCAAGTATTTGGGGAAAGTTCACAGAATTTTATTAATTTTACGGTTCATTTCATTCGGCAAAGAAAAAGTCCTTTCTTACAGAATCTACTCTGGATATATGGTAGCCTGCGAACCGCAGACGTATTACCTGTCGTCACTTCTCTCCCACCAAAAAACAAATTTTTGCAGAGAAGCAACGACCAGAAATATGTCTGGGGTTCACAGGCTAGATATATGGGAAAATGTGTTGTTTGTTTTTTTCTGCTGCTGGTCAGGTAACTTTATTAGAATAAATTTCATGCTCACTGACAAGGGTTGCCCAAGGAAGTTGTCTTCAAAGTTAATAATAATTAAAAAAACTAAAATAGGCGTACATGTATAAACAACTAATTTTTTCCTAGCTTAACTGACAAACAAAAATTATCCAAACAACTTTGCATGAAAAAAGAATTTATTGCACAATTATTATTATTTTAATAGATTACACAAGTTTTCCCAGCAACAGCCACTGTGCATAAAAGGAAAAATATTTTAAAATACCTAGTCTGAAATGTCATACATCTCCACCCCCTAACCCAGACTGTAAAATACCCACTGATATTTTAATTTATTTAACTGGTCAACAATTTCTGCTTTTTGGCTATGGAACCAAAATGAAATTCCACATCATCAAAACAAGGATTTTGTAATGAAAGAAAAGACGAGAACCTAAGTCAGTCAACACAAAGAAGTACCCACAGTTTTGGCCCTATAAATCAAAAATTTAAATTATTAGAAGACAAATACATGGGGTGCAGGAGCTTAAAACCAAACACAATAATTTATTAAATTAATTTTATTACCTAGCCACATAACCCACAGCTCCTAATGTAAATGTTTTTGTAAAGCTATTATTTTCATGACAAAGCTCTTCATCCCTCAAGAAACCCATCTAGTTAATGTCAGTTATCCACAATTTGCTTCTAGTTTCTTTGCAGCTTGTGTTTTATGGTTTGACACCAAATCTGTAGACAGTAACTTGTTGGTAGACTTCACCAGGGCGGAGAATAGGGCTCGGGAAATTGCTCTGTTGATAAAACAAAATAAAAAAAACCATGGATACTGTCAACAAAATAGATTTCTTACTCATGGTGCAGAGCTATTTCTGATGCAACCTTATTTAATACAGTGCAGTTACATGTGACCAAATGCAGTTAACTGCCTATAAGCCACCACCCAATATGCAGAGAGTTAGTTTTTGCTTTGGGTCACTTATATGAGAGGTGGTGGCTTACAAAGGTGGTTAAACATGGAGTTTTTTTAATGTGTTTTTAACAATAAAACAGACTTCTAGGACAAGTAGATTTTCTTGCTGGGCAAGTAACTTTGGAAGCTTATTTGCCCTGATGGACAATGGTCCTAGGGTCATCTTCTAACTAAATCATTAACTATGACAAGCGAGAAGTGGTCTCAGTCAAGGAAAATGTGAGAGCTACTTGCTCAACTAACAAGCTGGAATTCAAGTTTTTTCGAGCCCTTATTCTCATCAAACTGAACTGACCTGGTTAATTGCATCAGGGTAATTCTGTGCTTCCAAGCAGAATGCACCGTACTTTGGGTAACACACACCTCCTTTGCCTGGTGACCCATCCAGACCATTACCAGTATAAAACTGTACTCCTGGCTGATCGGTAAACATTGTAACTACACGGCCACTGGTGGGATGATAAACTCTGAAGGATTAAGACAAAATTCATCAGGAAATTGAGTAATATTAATTTTCAGTGGACAAAAACCTTGTACCAGAATAATTTAAAGAATATTGCACTCTTTTTTACAGTTTTCAAGGGCTTAAGATGTAATTAGTCATCTGTAGTAACACCAACGAAAATTTCACGTGGTAGTCTGAGAAAATGAATGTCAAATTTCACAAGAATTGTGAAAACACAGGTAAAATTCTAAGAACTTCATGTGTTTTTGTGAAATTTGACATTTATTTTCTTGGGACGTTATTTGGGGAATTTTTTTTATTATGCTCAAAAGCACAGTTAGATGCCAGTACGTTGATTGAAAATTTTCACCGGTAAAAGATCATTGACCATGTGATCATTTCTTATCTCAACTAACTAACTTACTCTGCACAGTATTCCTTGCTTTTTGGTAGACAGAAGTTGTGGTCATAGCCTCCAATCTTGTCTATATCTTGGCCTATTGGCTTTGGTGTTAAGAAATCAAATGCACTATTTGGGCTTGACACTGAGCATATTTCACCTTGAGATATAAGTGTGTAAAGTTAGTATCTGACAAGTAACTGACATATTTTTGTTACGGCTTTTCTGTACATCATTTGGCAGAAATGTTAGTGTACATGAAGTTAGTAATGTTAGTTGTTTTGATTTATCAGTCTGTGAGATAATGTGAGGAGGTCACTGCCTGAGTGGAAATGCCAGTAAAAAAAACTTCTGAAATTTACACAGTACGGTACATACAAAACTTTCATCCTGCAATTCAATGTTCATGGAAATCTGATGCATAAAATCTCATGTCAACTGCAAAACCTATCCATACATTTCTAATTATGTTCTACATGTTGTACAGTTTGATTCTATTTGAGGACAATTCCCGAATCATATGACACCCAGGCGGCTTAAAGATGTACACTATCAGGAATAGAGTTATTTTTAATGGTTTTTTAAAAGGCAACTCTTGTTAAGTACCTGTTGGAATCTGTACATCATTTGTAGGCAAGTAAGAAGGTGCCTTTATTTGAGCTACGTGATCCAAAACATCAAGTTCAACCTGCGACGATAAATATAAAATGTAAAGAGAAATCTGATGTTGATCATCTTTTCCTAGACTTACGCTCGCCCTGGAGGGCAATCCCCTAACTAAATTTGAAGAAAAAGAGATACTACTTGCAGTCTCGCTTTACAGTACTAAGGTTATATTACTGCATTGGTGAGAAGTAAACTGAAGTAAGTTAAACACAACAACAAAGGAAATAGCTAGTGGACTTCATCAGTGATAAAATTAAGCAGAATAAACAAATGCAAATAAAATAGTACTTTGCAGATCACCATGCAAAGAAAGTAGTGTCCAACAGCCCAAGGCTAGTGGATTTTGCTTTTAGGGCTTAGTGAATTCTGTTCTTAACTTCTTGACTTGCACAACAGGCAAGTGATATCTTTCATGGGGAATTCAAATTACTGAAGAACTGTAATCAATCCTAGCTACTCATCAGAAAAAATTTTGGCTACTTGAAATGACTTTTGGGATAGTACATAAAAAATTATATGCAAGCTAGGTAAAGCTTGCCCAAATGGCAAGTTGTATATGTATAACTGACTTTCTTTGCACCCTGTTTGTATGTGCATAATTACCTGTCCAGCCAAGTTAAAGTAGGCATGATTAGTGAGGTTGAGAATGCTGGGACTTTTAGTGCTAGCCTTGTAATGCAGCTTGACTTCATTGTCATCCGTGAGACAGTACACCACCTCAGCTGTCAGCTCACCTGGGTAGGCTTGATCTCCATCACAGCTTATATATTTAAATTCAACCTCATTTTGGTCCTTTACTTTACTTTGCCAGTTTTGCTACAAGTAAAATACATAAACAAACAGCCCAATAAAGTGAGGACCTTTTCTCTGTACATGTATCTTTTTAATGGCCTCACCATCAAAAGAATTAAAACAAAATTAATTGTTGTCAATTAGGTGGCCAGTACAGGTCAAAATTAAATTCAGGTTAAAATTTTTTNGTTCAACCTGCGACGATAAATATAAAATGTAAAGAGAAATCTGATGTTGATCATCTTTTCCTAGACTTACGCTCGCCCTGGAGGGCAATCCCCTAACTAAATTTGAAGAAAAAGAGATACTACTTGCAGTCTCGCTTTACAGTACTAAGGTTGTATTACTGCATTGGTGAGAAGTAAACTGAAGTAAGTTAAACACAACAACAAAGGAAATAGCTAGTGGACTTCATCAGTGATAAAATTAAGCAGAATAAACAAATGCAAATAAAATAGTACTTTGCAGATCACCATGCAAAGAAAGTAGTGTCCAACAGCCCAAGGCTAGTGGATTTTGCTTTTAGGGCTTAGTGAATTCTGTTCTTAACTTCTTGACTTGCACAACAGGCAAGTGATATCTTTCATGGGGAATTCAAATTACTGAAGAACTGTAATCAATCCTAGCTACTCATCAGAAAAAATTTTGGCTACTTGAAATGACTTTTGGGATAGTACATAAAAAATTATATGCAAGCTAGGTAAAGCTTGCCCAAATGGCAAGTTGTATATGTATAACTGACTTTCTTTGCACCCTGTTTGTATGTGCATAATTACCTGTCCAGCCAAGTTAAAGTAGGCATGATTAGTGAGGTTGAGAATGCTGGGACTTTTAGTGCTAGCCTTGTAATGCAGCTTGACTTCATTGTCATCCGTGAGACAGTACACCACCTCAGCTGTCAGCTCACCTGGGTAGGCTTGATCTCCATCACAGCTTACATATTTAAATTCAACCTCATTTTGGTCCTTTACTTTACTTTGCCAGTTTTGCTTCAAGTAAAATACATAAACAAACAGCCCAATAAAGTGAGGACCTTTTCTCTGTACATGTATCTTTTTAATGGCCTCACCATCAAAAGAATTAAAACAAAATTAATTGTTGTCAATTAGGTGGCCAGTACAGGTCAAAATTAAATTCAGGTTAAAATTTTTTAACCTACGTTAATTCATGAATAATCAGGGCTAGGACACAAAGGAAATTGAGCATGAGAGTGAACCAAGGTTTAATTTTAACTTGTAACATATACAGTGTACATGTATATAAATCTTGAAATTTACTATTGCATAGTAAATATATCATAAATTGTTGGCTTTTGATAGGAAAAAAACAAAGTGTACCTTACTAAAGCCTTTCAATCCCCCATGTAAGTGGTTGGGTGGGTTATTTATGGCCAGCTGGTATTCTTTCCCATCAAGTGTGAACTTTCCATAAGCTATCCTGTTAGCAAATCTTCCAACAGTTGATCCAAATGATGGCGGGTTTTCCAAGTAGTCTTAATTTAAAATCAGACATTTAAGTAAAAACTTCTTTATCATAATTTTGTAAGGGAAAAAAATTTAAAAAGTGGCAAGGATTTAATAAAATAAAACCATCTAAGAGTTCATTTTTCCAACTGTGATTTTACCTTCTAGTTTGTCATATCCTAGAACTACATCATCTATCTTCCCATTCCTGGAAATTAAAAACACTTCTTTGTTTAAAGTGACCCAGTAATAACTACTGTGTATGTATTAAGAATATCCCTTATAGCTTGTTACATAATAAGATTTAAGTATTGCTATTTGCTCTTTTAGGCAGGGCTCAAAAAAGCCCCATCTGGTTGTCCAGGACAACTGGATTTTCTTGCTGGGCAAGAGTGATCAGCATCAAATTTCTCCTTGTAATATCAATGCTTTGTAAAACAGAGTGGTCATGAGAATTACAGACATGATCACACAAGATGAATTTGCTTGATATTTTATCAACTTCTCCCCACTACTTCTGTAGGAAATGAATAGGGGCCGCAACAAATGAGAATTCAAATTTTGATCTTAGGGTTTAAAGGGCCAAAGCTTACTTGACCAAAGGGCAAGGGTGCAGGAAAGTCATCCTCTGACTAGCCTGCGTAGCTGGCGGTATTGTGTAGTAGTCGAGTGAGATTTGGCGGCGGAGCCGTTGTAATATAGTCGAGTGAGATTTGACGGCGGAGCCGTCACGAGCGGCGAAGCCGCGAGAAATACCGCCTGCCAGAGAACCATGATTTTTCGAATGCCGCCCACTTTTGTCACGTTAGCTGATCCCAATTAAATCAGCCAATCAAAGAGAAACCTGCAATTTGAAACTTCCGATTATTTTCGCGCGAGACAGTTTAGAAATAAGCGTTGACAGGCTAAACACGACTCCTAAGCTCGTGACAATGTGAAACGTGACCTTGTGAGTTTGCTTGAACAGAGGGTTTTTTTTATTTTCTCGGCTCTCGCTCAAAGGTTACTAGCACTACCCCAGTGCATGTATCATTCTAAACTTTGACTGAGTAAATCTTTTTTTGCAACACTAGGCTTAACATTAAAAGGTCATGAAGCTGGTTTGTTACATGCATACTGAGTAACCATTTCCGGTGGTTTATTCTTCAGTAGGTGTTCCTGATAGGATTTGATCTCAGATGCAGTTGTAAAGTGTTTTAATTTTTTTGTTTCTTACGGCTAAATTAAGACAATTCCAGCGCTGTGAAGTTTAAAGACGCAATTTTGGCAATTTGGTCATCAATTATGCTCTTTTTAAAGCGGAAAACACAATCACTTTACATGTACGTCTTTTCCAGTTCGCCATCTGCTCCCTAAATTGGGAAATATACGCGAAGGCTCATCTAACATGATTGACATATGTATGGCCCTCGACCAATCCGTTTCCCCGCACACTGGTGTGCGGAGGTATTCAAAATACCGGGGTTTTCTGGCAGGCGGTATTTCAACCGCCTCGTCCCTACTCCCTTTTTTTGGAACACGGCTCCGCCGCCAAAACTTTAATCTCGCACCCACACAATACCGCCAGCTACGCAGGCTATCCTCTGACAAGATTGTTAACTAAGATGAGCAAGAAGTGGCCCTGGTGGGCAAGCAAAATGTATGACAGCTGCCTGTGCAAAGGACAAGCTGGAATTCAAGTTTTTTGTGTGTCCTGTTGGGACTCAAAACTTACTGCTGGGAGCCAAACCTGTGAATGACAAATAATATGTGCAGTTCATGTGAAACACATGTGATTATTTTGGCATGTGAAACACTCTGTGAAAGAAAAAAACCTGCTTTTAGATATCAAACCAGCCTTAATCTTTTCATGTGAAAATTTTTGTGAATTTATGGGGAGTTATTCTTTATTAGCCTGCATTGCAGACACTTGAACGTTTCTGTTCTACCATGTTAAAATGACATGTACATTTATGAACTCTTAACTTTAAATTCATACCGTCTGCTTAATCCTAACACTTCTGCTTGGTTAATTCAAGTTTCTGTTATCTAATTTATTTAATTCCTTATTTTTTTCCCTTCATTTTCCTAGAGAGGGCTATTATGTTGGGGGAGGTTAAGTTCAAAATCTCAAGATCAGTAATCCAGAACCCACATGCAAAAAGATCAGTCCAGAAAAACCGAAAGCAACCAAAAAAACGGCTGTTGTCACTTGTAAGTATAAACCATGAACAATAAAATTAATATTCAGTGTAATGGATTCATGGGTATATGTTTATTCAAAGAGCCTTCTCGAAACATGTACAATGTCACGAGCTCCTTGTGCGGATGCATACATTTATCAAAATTAGTTTCACTCGCTATTAATTGGAGATCTCATCCTCAAAATACCCGGCCAATTATAGCAACACTTGAAAAAACGCGACATGAAAAATCCCTTAACCCTTTGTGATAACTTTTTCTTTTGTTTTTCTTTAGGACGCCTGAAAAGGAAATGGATCGAGACAACAAACCCTGTGCTGGAGTTGCAATTGGGTCCAAAAGGCCAAATTAAGCACACAGTCATGTTTTAACTTATATCTTCTCCGAGGCTAAGGAAATACAACTAACGAAATTCTTTTTTCATCCCTGAATCGGAACGCCGTTTTTTATTTTATTCCCTTCAGTCTCGGAGCCAAGTAAGCTTACATTTGACGGTGTATGGTTATGAATTTTAACAAGCGAACAAGTCAGTCACGCAAGCTAAGACCTACCTGTCAGGGCATTTTAGTGAGACTAAAGTAGCTCCCCAAGAAATCGCAACCAGCTCGAGGCCTTTGTTATTTTGAATAGTATATTTGATGACATCTTCCCCCGTTTCTGTTTTGCCAAAGACCTCCTGGCATACAACCATGTTTCTGCTGGGGCTGTTGTGAAGCTTTCGCACGAGTGACTGACAACTGCAAGAGAACAATGAGTTACGCGCCCGCGAAACAAAAGACAGCTGTGTAGGTTTCCTCATGTACACCTACACGATCTTCTACAAACTGATATCTTTCACCTGAATTCGATTGCAGGTCCCTCTTGAAAAATTTGTAAGATTCTTCGTTTTTCGGTGAATTATGTAACACCATAACCGTTAAAATGACTGAAAAGTCCAGGATAATAAATCAGTGGTGCGTTTACTTCGAAAAAGGAAGAGATTTCGATTCCTGGGGACAGCTAGTGGAAGCCGCTGATGAATATTCGAGGTGTGTTTATTTTGAATTTTATCTTAAGCTTATGTTAAATACACTTGTTTGTAGTGTTTTCATAAGACAATTTCCCTGGTTATTTTACCAAAAGCAGTTTTATCATTCATTTGATATGGGCAGTACCCTCTCAGTGTCGTTTTATTTGCGTGATCTTTTGTTGTCGTTGTTGTTTTTTGTTTTTTTCGTACGTTTATGCAAGCTAACTTTACATGAATTTATGCTTAAAAGTTTGTGATAAGATCTTCGATAGTTTTAAATGAAACTCAAAGCATTGACAGATTTGAATCCCCAACTTCTTTATAATTCACACTTATAATTTTTAAATATCCACGGTGATATGCCCACACACAGCGCTGCATACTGTCATTATTCATGAATTTTTATCTCTGTTTGTAACACTAACACAAACAATAATGGTAAACAATAAAAAAACAATAATATTTTAAGCTTAATTGTTGCAAATTTCCCGTGGGATGTTCACATTCATTCACAAACCTGTCTCTCCCCTGTCCCCACTTGCTCCCTAAAAGTGGCTTGAGTCCAACTCCCCAATAGTTGATTTTTCTGTTGCCATCTTTCAAAAAATGTTCTGAAGGGAACTGAGGAGACAGGAGAGAATTTGCCTGCAGGCTGGTCCAAATTTGGTCAACTTCTTCAAAGGAAAAATTGGAATTTTCCCCTCCCCTTCCTCTATGAAAAAACCTACCATCCTCACGGGGTGCAGGTAGGAAAGGAATGCCCCTTAGACACATCTTTTTTTTTTTTTTTTTGGGGGGGGGGGGGGGGTT